GCCAGTGAGTCCTCAGAGGACTGTGGGATTAGTGCTGCTTCGGGGAGCGCACAGCTAGGATCCCTGCCCAGCCTGTTTCAGGAACAGGTGAATACCGTAATTAATCTTGGCTTCAATTTGGAGGGAAGCAGGGAACCTACCTGCCGTCTACTGAGTTTATATGTTAATCCCCTGAGCTCTGGAAAAAAGTTTTTAAATTGGCATAAAGACTTTTTCTGCCCTTCCGAATGTGCAGAGAAGAAATAGTTGGGAGAGGCTGCTGAGTTACCCTAACTTCAGGCAGTTAAGATGCCTCCCAGGAAAGCTGTTGATTGCTACCTTGCTTGGTTTGACGCATCTCAGAGCATAGAGCAAAGGCTCTTCCAATGAAGCTAGCAAGTTTTTTAATGAAAGAAAATACTCAGAGGTGCAGGGGGCCTTACCCACAATCATAAACCATAAAAATGCAGATATTTGGAATTGGAGTTGCTCTCAGGGGCAAACCCATCTAATCAATGGGCTCTTGAAGTGCTTGGACCATGTCCAGGATTTTACATATTATTCTAGATACAGAAAAATGCATAGGCACATGCCTTATCCCTTCTTTGCACCAATTTCATATTTTTAAAAGAAGCAGTAAAGTGTACAAATGAAATACCTGCATCAGCAATGGAAATTTCACATTAGAAACACTGACAACATGTGCTACAATTCAATGTTGAATGAACTGGGTAGCAAAATAAAGCCAAAACATAGAAGGCAATCCTTCTTCTGAGAGGAGACAACAATTTATGGGAATAAGCAGGAGATACTAGAATGTGCCCTCTGACACCCTAACATGGAATTGTAGAGGCCAGTTCCTTGCAGAGGGCTGTTAGGAATTGTAACACTTGGGTTCCCTGCCTCTTCCACACTCTTAGAGATAGGCATAAGCTAGACATCCAAGTGTTACTGAGTGGAGTCTGGGCTGCCTCAGGCCAGCCAGTAGTGTGTGAATTCTTGACTTGATGTAGGAAAGATTTCACAATTTGAGTCCAAGTGATGTTGAGAGGATGTTATTAAAGCTGGGGACAGTGAAACAAAGGAAGGGTTTAGTGTAGAAAAAGCAGCAGGAGAGGGCCTAGGCAGGGTTGCTCTGGTTCTCTGAGAAAGAGAAAAGAGAGCCCTGGAGACAGGTTCAGGGGTAAGCCTGGGACAAACTGCCGCTGCCCCCTGCCCCTCTGGTTGCAAGTCTCGTGGGGTCTCTTAGAGTTTAGGAGAAAAAGAAGAGATACAAAATGTGGGCGTGTTCTAGTGAGGACACTGGATGCTTTGTCTTGGCTTTTTATCTTTGGCATGGGAATCCTAGGGGAGGTCTCAGGAGAGGGTTTAACAAAGTATTCATTAGCTTTTCCAGGTGCATCCTTCAATTATGTTGATTCATTAAAATTTGTGTGTAGCCCTGGCTGGTTTGGCTCAGCGGTTAGAGCATCGGCCTGTGGTCCAGAGAGGCCCAGGTTTGGTTCCCGCTAAGGGCATGTATCTTGGTTGCGGTTTGTCCCCAGCCCTGGTTGGGTCATGTGGGTGGCAGCCACTTGATGTGTCCCTTTCACGTCGATGTTTCTCTCTCTCTCTCTCCCTCCCACTCTATCTGAACAACAACAAAAAAAAAATGTGTGTGTATCCCAGCTGGTGTGGCTCACTGGTTGAGCATCAATCCATGCACTAAGAGGTCGCCGGTTCAATTCCCAGTCAGGGCACATGCTCAGGTTGTGGGCTCAGTCTGGTATGCAGGAGGCGGTCAATCTCTCTCTCTCTCTCTCTCTCTATCTCTCTCTCTCTCTCTCTCCTTTCTTCTCTTTAAAATCAATAAAGAAAAAAAGATTTTTTTAATGTGTGTATAAAGGGGTCAGGAGTTTTTTGATTTTTGATTTGTTTTAGTTTCAAAGAACATCATCAAAAAGGGACCAGGACCACCTGGCTGGTATGGCTCACTGGTCGAGTGTTGACCTATGCACCAAGAGGTCATTGGTTTGATTCCTGGTCAGGGCACATGCCCAGGTTGTGGGCCTGAACCCCAGCGGGAGGCATGCAGGAGGCAGCCAATCAAAGTTCTCTCTCATCGATGTTTCTCTCTTTCCCTCTCCCTCCCTCTCTCTCATATCAATAAAGAAAAAAAAAAAATATATATATATATATATATATATATACTCACACACACGTTCTTTGACATAGTAATCCCATCATTAAGAATCTATTCGAGCCCTGGTCAGTTTGGCTCAGTGGTTAGAGCGTTGGCCTGCAGTCCAGAGACCCGGGTTCACTTCCCACTAAGGGCATGTACCTCGGTTGCGACTGTCCCCGGCCCTGGTTGGGTCGTGCGGGTGGCAACCACTCGATGTGTCCCTTTCACGTCTATGTTTCTCTCTCTCTCTCTCCCTCCCACTCTATCTGAACAAGATATCAGAAAAAAAAAAGAGAGAGAGAGAATCTATTCAATGACTAGTGACATAAGTATAGAAGATGTATCGATAAGAGTATTTATTATAGCACTATTTATAAACAAATCTGAAACAAAGGAAGTAGTTAAATACATTTTGGTGAAATACAATGTATTATATATTACTTATGACAAAGAATACCATGTTACTGTTAAAAAGAACAAAGTAGGTGCATATTTACTATATTGGCTTGCTGGGCTGCCATAAGACAGTACCACAGCCTGGGTAGGTAGCTTAAACAACAGAAATGTATTTTCTCACAATCTGGAGGCTAGAATTCTGAGACAAGGTGTCAGCAGGGTTGGTTTCTTCTGAGGCCTCTCTCCCTGGCTTATAGATGGTCATCTTCTCCCTGTGCCTTCACATGGTTTTCTCTAGCCATGTGTGTTCAAATTGCCTCTTCCTATAAGGACACCAGTCTTATTGGAATAGGAGACATACTAATGACCTCATTTAAATTAAATTATTTCTTTAAAGATCCTATCTCCAAATACAGCCACATTTTGAGGTGCTGGGAGTTATGACTTCAACATGTGAAAGTTAGGGGGACACAGTTTAGTCCATAACATTTACTGCCATGGAAAAACATTCATGGTTTTTAGGTTTAAAAAAAAAATCAAGGAGCAGAACAACATGTACAGTATGATTCCCCTCCTTTTTAAATTATAAAAACAAACCCTCTGGTACATATTTACATGCAGTTTGGGGTATACTTAAAACATTTCAGAAGAATAGATACCCAACTGTTAATATTGGTTCCCTAAAGAATAAAACATGGAATAGGAGGGACAGATTTCCACTCTTTCTTTTTACAAGCATGGGTTACTTTTGTAATTGGAAATTTTTAGCTTGAAAAAATATAGGTACAATGTCAACACGCCTCCCCCACAAAAGGAAACTATGTTATTCCCTGAAAGAAAGAGTTCTTATTGAAATGAAGGTTGGGAACTGGCATTCAACCCTGGGTAGATTCACAAAGAGAAGAGAATGGGAAGAAAAACAACTTAAAACAATACCTTGGCACCACCTTAAACATTGGGGGAGGGGGGGGTAGTTGACACAGAAGGCCAAGATTGTCTCCATTTGCCTGTTCAGAAGAATGAGGCCTCAGGGTAAAAAATTAAGTGTTAGAAAATAAAGTGATATTTCTTGCATGTCTGAATTTTGACATTCATGTGATTATACATACTCTTCTCATTTAATTCTCTTACACTCTATTATCTTCATTTTATAGATAAGGAAAGGGCTTTTTAAGGTTAGTTTTCCTGAGGTCACATAACTAGTACGTAGCAAAACCAGAACTCAAATTTGGGTCTTCCTCACCCTGAAACCTGTGATAGCTACTGCTCTTGTGCTGCCTGAAATAGGGTTTGTCTTCTCCCTATCACCTGCACCCAATTCCTACTCACAAATCTTGCTAATTTAGGCTGCATTCTCCTCCTCTAGGAAGTAACTATTGAGCATCCCCTCCTAAAATTTAGATGGTCCTCTTTAGGCCTCCCTAAATCCCGACCCCATCTGTATCACAGACCATAATGTAGTGTGATGATCTCTGAATATGATTTTTCTCCTCCACTAGACTGTGAACTCTTGAAGGCAGCAGTTAAGTATAGCCTGTGCCTGACACATAGTAGGTGCTTTAGGTCTGCAACAGAAGAATATCACTTATATTTGATTGTTTCCTCATTAAACTCTGAACTTCATAAGGTTAAAGAATACCCCTGGTTTTATGCACCATGAAATCACATGCTTGGCACAGACTAGGCTCTCAATAAATATTTTTTAATAAGTGAGTAATTCTATACGTGATCTCTGTTTACTGTGACTAGTCATGTTCGGAGAAAAAAGCAGCTTCTGGACACTCTTTTCCTTGTAATGACTTAGTATTTTACATTATTTCTACACTTAAATACTTTTAAATTCGTCATTATTTTCCCGTTTTCATCCTCACACGCACAAGGTACATGTTCTCCACTATGTGAAAGTGTAAGACTTTGATTCTGCCTTCCATTTACCATGCTATGCCAGCTGCTAGCCGTTCCTTTCGACCTGCCGCACTTAACTGCCAGATGTCACGAATGGGAGAGGTGAACAGTTAACCTCCAATTTACAAGCTTGCTTTTCCCTGGGATAATTGCAGTTACACGGTCCTGGATGTGATCCTCTCACGACAGAATCTCCTAATGTGGCTTGATGACGTATCACTACAACTAAAGATGTGGAATAATAGGAAAGTTAAAACAGTATTTGCTAGGCAAGGTTCTGATCTTTTAAAGATTATAAGATATAGGTTCTCATTAGAGAAACAAGAAAAATATGTTCCAAATCACCTTCCGAGCAGTTTGCCTGGATTAACACTCCCACAGACAAAGAAGCGGACCAAACACTCTTCTCCGACCGAGGTTTGCAGCCAGAGCCCGCGCCCCTGTGGGCGGGGCCAGCAGAGCCTCCCGCGACCCCCAGCGGGAGGGGGCGGGATCGAGGGCGGGATCGAGGGCGGGCCCCGGCTTCCAGGGGCGGGACCTCGCGGGCGAGGGGCAGGCTGGGAAGCGGCGCCATGTTGGCGTCGTCCGCGCTGTATTGTCATAAAAAGAGCCGGTTATGTGGTGTTTTCACTACTCGGTTGGATGCCTCGGCCACAGTGAGTGAGGAAGAGAGCGAGCAAGCGAGCTACAAGCGACCGGAGGAGAGTGGAGTAGCGGAAAGGGAAAGAACGAGTGCGGTACTCCAGAGCGAGAGACACTCGCCTGTGAGGGAGACGCAGGAAGCGATGAAAGAAACGTCTGCGTAAGTGGTGGGGGGCGGCGGTTGTGGGTGAGGCGGTGAGTGGTGGGCTGAGGCGGTCAGCCCGGAACTCCGTTTCCGTGCTCTGCCTGGAGCTCGCCGGGGTGGTCTCCTTTCACGCTCTGGTCGGCAAGGGTACCTCCCCTCCGCCCGGCGGCTCACCTGGCCGCCCCCCGCACAGTGCCCAGACTCGGGGACTCCAGGAGTCCCCATCTGCCCTTGGCCGTCCCGCCCCCGAGGACGCCCCTCGGCGGGGATGCGGCGGGAGAAAGGCGAGCGTGTCGGTGCGGAGCGGTTGTTGGTCACTCTCCCGCTCCCAGCACCGTCTGAACCGGTCTCCTCCTGTCTGCATTGGCGCAAACGCCATCCCCCTGCTTCCCCTCCACCCTTCCGGACCCGCTGTCTCTGGTCTTCTGGAGTGCTCGTTTCTCTGTAATAAAGGCCGAGGCCCCTCCGCCCTCCCCCGTCCTCCCCGTCCACCCAGAGCATACCTACCGGTCTGTACCTCCTGCTCACTCTCTGGTAAGTCACGAACGGTTTCCGTGCTGGGCGGAAGATGTACATTCCTACATTTCGGTTTTTTAGGAAATAATGGGAAGATTCAGAGAAAAACGTAAGCATTATTTGTGTAGACCATCCATCTCTCCCAAAGCATAACATTATGTGTGTGTGCTTGCGTGCAGACACTTATCTTTATTTAAAGTAAATCATTCCAAAAACATCTGTGGGATTCTCCTACCTCTTTAAAAACAAATTCTTTTTTTCTTTATCGATTTTTAGAGAGGAAGGGAGAGAGAAACATTGATGAGCGAGAACATCATTGGCTGCCTCTTGCACGCCCCTCCCCCCCAACCAGGGATTTGGCCCACAACCTCCTGTAATCCGACCGGTGACCTCTTGGTGCATGGGTCATGCTCACCCGCAGGCAGGGCAGGTTCTCCTACCTCTTAATCTAGTCCCATTTGCCTCTCTCCCCAGAGTTCCCCACAGTCCTGAATTTGATGGTTATTGCTGCGTGATTTTAATGCCATTAATACATACTATGTATATACCCATAATAACTGACATTGTTTTTAAGTTTTATGTAACAAGTATCACATTTGTCATTCTGCAACTTGCTTCTTTAGTGCAGCATAGTACCTTTGAGCTTTGTCTATGTTAATGTGTTTAGCTCTAGTTAAATCATAGTAACTACTTTATTGTATTCCATAGGGATATACCCTAATTTAGTTATTTTCCTGTTAGTGACTATTTTAGCTTGCTTCTAGTTGTTACTATTTTTTATTATTGATTTTTTAGAGAGAGAGGAAGAGGAGGGGGAGAGACATCGATTTGTTGTTCCATTTGTTTATGCATTCCTTGGTTGCTTCTTGTATGTGCCCCGACAAGAGATTGAACCCTCAGCTTTTATGTATCCAATGACAATGACCATGCTCTAACCAACTGAGCTACCTGGCCAGGGCCATGTTTCCAGTTTTTAATATTACAGTGTGGCAGTGAACATTCTTGTACATGTCTTCTTGTACACTTGTACTGGAATTTCTCCAGCATAGTTATCTATAAGTGAAATTTATGGGTTGAAGGGAATGTGGGATTCTGTTGCTTCCTTTTTTTTTTTTTACCCCTGCCTAAATGAAGGGAGGTTCAGAACCATAGATTTGGGATTTTAGTGCTAATAGGAATTTAGAAAACCAACTTTTTCAGCATGCATACAAGAAAGTGGGACCCCGGATCATAATTAATGTCAGAACTATGGAAGGGAGAATGGAGTGGTGGAGAGATCTTGAGTTTTGGAGTTCAGATTCTGACTCTTCTTATCTTTTTAGATCTTGGATACTTACCTGTAAGGTGGCACTTATTCAGTATTTACCCCTCAGGGTTATTGTTGAGATGACTTGGATAGAGGTTTTTGTTGTTGTTGTTTTGTTTTTTTGAATCCTCACCTGAGGATATTCTTCCAACTGAGGTGCATGCCCTTGATCGAAATTGAACCTGCCACTCTTTGGTTGCAGGCCGACACTGTATAACTGCTGAGCCAAACTGGCCAGGGTTGTTCAGATTAATTTAATGATTATATATAATCATTCTGTCCCATCCATTTACTATACACATTTATATATGCAATACCAAAATGCCTCTGTAGCTCTCTTAGAGGTGAAAGAGCTAAATCTTTTTTTTTTTTTTTTTCTCACCTGAGGACATTTTTGCATTTATCTTCAGATAGAGCAGGAAGGAGGGAGGAAGAGAGAGAGAGAAACATTGATGTGAGAGAGACACATTGAGTGGTTGCTACCCATACAACCCTGACTGGGGCCAGGGACAAACTGCAACCGAGGTACGCGCCCTTAGTGGGAACCGAACCTGAGACTCTGGTCCACGGGCCGACGCTCTAACCACAGAGCCAAACCAGCCAGGGTGAAAGAGCTAAATCTTTAAAAAAGAAGTTACTACTTGAAATAACTAATTGAATTTTTATTTGTTTTACAGCAAAATAAATGCCAGAAAGAAGTTAAAGTGATTAGTATTGACGTGTTTCTCTTTTGTTTATTTCAGAAGATATGTAGACTTTTATCTTCCATTTGATTCTCTCTTTATACCTAATGAAATTTTTAGCCAAAGTGCATTTGATAAGTCAGTGTTTTGACCAGTTCAAATTCAAAAACAGTTCAACAATCATTATTGTATTTTTGTGTATTTATTCACTTAAAAGACTTGCTCTTTGAGATTACATTCTTACTGTAGGTGTTAATGGCCCTTCATGAAAGGATGCCTAACACAGGTGGTAGGGTCAGTTGGTTATTGTGTATGTTTTTGTTTTTATTTTTTAGCATAATTAAAAGTTTTGGCAACCCATGTTGGTCTCTTATTTTGAAATTATTTGTGTAAATCTAAAAATCTCAGAAATTCTGTTGTGCTATATTCAAGACTATAATTTCCTGATAGCTAGGACCTTTTCAAGGGTAGTTTATATTCTGTTAAGGGTTGCAATTTAATGTAAAGAATTTGATAAGTACTCAGTGTGAAAATGGTCTGGGTACCAGTCTAAATGAAAGAACAATTAACTAGAGTCACAAAATGTTAGGACTGTACACTCTGATTCAAGCGAAGGATGTTAATTTAGGTATCTCAAGGACAAATCTATTTGTGATTTCTTTTTAAAAGTCAAAATATTTCACAAGGACCTTCTAACAGAATGTTTTCATTTCTTTCCTGAGGGAAGGAAAAACATTGTTTTTAGAGCTTTCTTTCAAGTGGCTGACTGCTTTTCAGAGATTGAATCTAGATGGTACTTGACTTACGTCTGTAGGGTATAGTGGAGGTGGCCCTGGCCCAATTCCCATTCAGGCTTTTTGAATTTGAGCTGAGTGGTGTTGGCACAGTTGTCCTGATGCCAACACATGCTGTTTTTGGCTTGAAAAGACATCCTAACCATGAAAGCTGGAGACAGTATGAATAGCCTTTCATCAATATAAATACAAAATACCCTTTTTTTCTTTAAAAAAAGTTTCTGCTCCGACTGTTAGTACTAAATAAGTAAACTTGTAAGGTGGCTATATTAATGAGTGAATTGAGAGAGTCAATGTATCAGTATGATATGATGCTTTAAATTTTTTCTGCTGTTTCCTTTTTCTTGAACAGAAACACCGTGTTGGACAGCCAGCGTCAACAAAAGCATTATGGAATCACCTCTCCAATTAGCTTGGCATGTCCTAAAGAAATTGATCACATTTACACACAGAAATTAATTGATGCTATGAAACCATTTGGAGTATTTGAAGATGAGGAAGAATTGAACCACAGGTATGTCACTTAAAAATGCAAAATATTTTATTGTATGGTATTTAATAATTAATTTTACAAACATATATTAGGTACCTACTATGTCCCTGCCTAGGGATTTTGTTTAAAAAAGACAACGTGAAGAGAAATCTTGGTCCTCCTGGATCTTCTATTTTAATTGGCAGTTAGGGACGAAGACTAACAATTAGCCAAATAAGTAAAATAGATATGTGTTACATGTGATGAATGTTGCTGGGAAAGAGTAGTGTTGCTGAGAAAAATAAAGTTGAGAATGGAGGTTGTCAATGAAGGCTTCATTGACATTTCAAGGAAAATTTGAAGATGAGGGAACTATGTGGATAGTTGAGGGGACAGCATTCTAGACAGAAGGCTTTAGGTGGAAGTGTACCTGCTTTGTTTAAGGAATATATAGCAAGGTAGCCTGAGTGCCTAAAAAGAGTGAGTAAGCAGAGTAATATGGACTTAAAGAAAGTGAGGTGGAAAGGAGTTTGGAGTAGAAAGTCACTTAGGACATTGTAAACCATTATAAAAGTTTTGGCTTTTACTTTGAGTGAAACGGGAAGCTATAAGGGTTTTGACCAGAAAATTGATATTATGACTTACTCGTATTTTAATGCAGTCACTCTGGCTGCCATATTGAGAATAGTCTGAAGAGAACTCAAGTCTAAACTGGGGAAACTAGTTAGAAGGCTAATATAATAATCCAGGGAGGAATTGATGGTGGTTGGCAGTGGCAATGATAAGAAGTGGTTAGAGCCCAGCTGTTGTGGCTCAGTGGTTGAGCATTGACCCATGGACCAAGAGGTTGCTGGTTTGATTTTCGGTCAGGGCACATGCCCAGGTTGTGGGCCTGATCCCCATTGGGGGGCATGGAAGAGGTGGCCAATTGATGTTCTTTCTCATCGATGTTTCTATCCCTCTCTAAAAATCAGTAAAGGGAAGAAAAAAAAGTAGTAGAATTTTTGCATATGTTTTAAAGGTAGGGTTGTCTGATGACTATGGAATGTGTGAGAGAGAAAGGAAAAGGGATTAAGGATGATGCCAGGGTTTTTGGCCTCAGCACCTCAAGGATGGAATTTCATTACTTGGGGAAGGCTGAGGGAGAAGCATGTTTAGACAGATCCAGAAATTCAATTTTTCATGTTATCTGTGAGATGCCTAAACTCTGTTTTTCTTTTCTCTTTTTTTGCGGATTTGGATATGTCATTGGTTGCAAATTTGTTTTAATAAATTGCATTTATTAAGAATATTATTTCATAAAAAGCCAATAATTTACCCATTTTAATTATTCAAAGACCTATGACTTTCAATGAGAGAATGGTAATCTCTATTATTATTACATTGAATTTATTTTATTGTATGGTAAGAAAGAATTAACAACTCATTTGGCCTTTGTAGCCTTATTGAAGGTAATTTTGACTTTATTAAGCTTTTTGAATTTTGAAAATAGCTCAAAGACAAAAATATTATCACATTTATCATCTCTTTGGAACTCTTAGGAACCTAAGAATGCCAAAGAGATGTGCCATGTATCAACAGATGTGATAGCATTAACGTGTGTATAGTATGCTTTTACCCTAACACCAACACAAAGGTACTGCTTATATGTTTAATTACTTTTTAAGATATTGTTTGTTTGTTTGCTTTTTAATCTAAAGCATGCTATTTTTTATTATAGGCTGGTTGTTCTTGGTAAATTGAACAATTTAGTAAAAGAATGGATTTCCGATGTTAGTGAGAGTAAGGTAAGACTTTAAGCTACAGTAAATTCATAGCTTCATTACATCCTGTTCTTTAGTCCTGGTAATAAGATGCAGGAGTTGAGAAGAATCTGAAATACATTAAAACTGGCTTTTTTGTATACTTGGTAATGAATTGGTTTAGACAGTTGAGTCTTAAAAAAATGAGGATTTAGCTCAGAGGTACCTAGTGTCTATCTAAAATTTCACATAAGTCTTCTATGACTCACAGTAGTGACCACAATTTCAATATCAAGATACTTTATTTAAAAAGCCAGATTTCAGCCCTGGCTGGTATGGGTCAGTGGTTAGAGTGTCAACCTGTGGACCAGAGAGTCGCAGGTTCAATTCTGGTCAAGGCACATAACCTCAGTTGCAGTTCAGTCCCCAGCCCTGGTCAGGGTCGTGCTGTAGGAAGCCAATTGATGTGTCTTTCTCACATTGATGTTTCTCTCTCTCTCTTTCTTACGCGCTCTCTCTCGCTCTCTCACTGGCTCCCTCCCTCCCACTCTATCTGAAGATAAATGGGAAAATATCTTCGGGTGAGGATTTAAAAAAAATTTTTCAGTCTTGTGAAATACCAGATCTGGCAATACTAGGCCTGCCTTTGTGGAAGGCAGGAAGAGGCTTGAATGGAATTGGGCTCCTGCCCTCCAGGAATGCCTCACAGTTTTCACCACTCTCTGCCTTCTCTGAAGCAGCAGCTGTCATTCATCAGTTTCTGTGTTTCTTATGGGTACTTCCTTCTTTGCATACCCACTTGGCCCCTGAGACAGGTTTATAAAACCTAATTTATAATTATACAACTTTTTCTCCTGTGGTAGCTTAACTATTTTTCTTCTAAGTTCGATTAATTTTTCTTGCTTTCTTAGAGAATTTTTAATGTAATTGAACTTTAATTTGAGAATTATCATTATGAATATTGTTTTTTCTTTTTTTTCATTATGAATATTATTTTACTGGCTGTATTAAAATGAGGTAGGGCACGTTCAACTGGGTGATACTATTTGCCTCTTGACTGAGTGGCTGAAACTTGTATTTTAAGGTCTTTGTTTTTTGTAGTTTCCCCATCTTGCCCTTAACTATAGTCAGCTGAAAGTTAATGTCTCACAGCAGTCAATGTGTCTCTGCAAACTCCCTTTCTACTCTTTAATCTGCATGGGTTTAGAAATTACATAAACACCTGTTAGACTTCTTTTTTATACAACTTTTATTCTTTCTTCCTATACCTATAATACGTATTTAAAATTGGGTTCTTTTAAACAAAACTATGATTAAGGTTATGAGGGACTCCGCTAAGTTAATAGTCATTGAGTTTAAATAAATGGTCTTTATGCTGTTTACTTTTGCTGCCAAATGAGTATTGGGCTCTTTTCTGAGCTCTCAGCAGGGTTATCAATAGTTGAAGTTTTCACCCTGGCCGGTTTGGCTCAGCGGTTAGAGCGTCGGCCTGCGGTCCTGAGAGACCCGGGTTCGGTTCCCGCTAAGGGCGCGTACCTCGGTTGCAGTTTGTCCCCGGCCCTGGTTGGTTGTCCGGGTGGCAGCCACTCGATGTGTCCCTTTCACATCAATGTTTCTCTCTCTCTCTCTCTCTCTCTGTTCCTCTCTCTCCCTCCCACTCTACCTGAACAAAAAATGGAAAAATGTCCTCGGGTGAGGATAAAAAATAAAAAAAATAAAAAATAGTTGAAGTTTTCAAATAAGTTGAATTCTGAGCAGGTTAAATGCTAGTCATGAGTCATAAAAAAAATTCATGTTTGTTCCTCTGCTACCAGGTTATCAACTCCTAAAGAAAAATACTTCATTCACCTGCACAACCCCAGGACAGGGCTCAGGCATTACATAAATGTTAGGGAAACCTATTGTCCCTTTCTAATCAGCCCATAATTGCAATGGGTATGCAAACCAAATACCCAACTTGCTAGAATTATTTTAAAAATCAGAATAACACGCTTTATAACTTTTTGTATATGGTCTATGTCAACTGTTGTGACTGTGCAGAGGTCTTTGCTTCCATCCCCATTCAAGGATGCATTCAAGATAAGTCATGTATTGTTATTAGCAAAAAGAGCTAGATTGATTTGTTGAGGGATGCACCTAATTTTCTTACTGCTAGGTTACTTTTCACTTAAAAGAAAAATCCAGTTGAATTCTGTTCCAAGGTAAACAGTTGTTTTTTAATTAATAAAATTGCTTTTTATTCCATTTTAATCAATTAGTGCTTTAATCTGCAAAAAGCAGTAGCTGGTTTACATTCAGTATATAGGCATAAAACCATTGTTAAAAATTTGAAACTTTGCCCTCATTTTGGCTTTTTTCTAAAGCCAAGTAAAAAAATGTAAATTGGTTTTAACATCTTCATTGAGTGGATAAGATGATTGGTCATTTTCTGTGTTGCTTATAATTCCCTTTTATTCGTGTTTTAGTTTGGAAAAATACCTGAAGGATTTGAGTTAGCCCAAAGATTATTTGAATGTTCTGCACACAATTTGGATATTTAAACAGTTTAGAACTCCAAATAAAATCATTTTAGTTAATAGGTTTGTGGCAAAAATATTTTACCTAGTGATTTGGTGTGTTACTTTCTTTCTCATAAATCATGCACGAATCTTGTTTTTCAAAGTTGGAAGTATGACAAGGATGTATTTTAGTAAACTAAAATACCCTTGCTTCTCCATCCTTTTGATTCACGTTAGTCATCAATAAATTTAGTGATTCCATTCTAGCTAAAAGATTACTTATGATACTCTTGAAACATTAATATTAAGCAGAAGTAACAACAAAAATATTCTATTATATAGATATTTTTTATTCAAGTTAATCAGCAGATATTATTCTTTGGAACTTGCACTGGGCATTGTGGGGAAATAAGAAAAGTAGGAGACCCAGCTGGTATGGCTCAGTGGTTGAACGTTGACCCATGTACCAAGAGGTCACCAGTTCGATTCCTGGTCAGGGCACATGCCTAGGTTGTGGGCCAAATCCCCATTTGTTGCCTAGGCTGTGGGGGGCATGCAGGAGGTGGCCAGTGATGTTCTCTCTCATCGATGTTTCTATTTTTCTCTCTGTCTCCCTTCCTCTCTCTCTCTAATCAATAAGAAAAAGAATTTTAAAAAGAAAAAGAGAAGTAAGAGACACTGTTTTTACCTGGGAATTTAAATATAGTTGAAGTGCCCTGGCCAGTGTGGCTCAGTGATTGGAGCATCAGCCTGGGCACTCAAGGGTTGTGGGTTCAGTTCCCAGTCAAGGGCACATACTTGGGTTGCAGGTTCAATCCCCAGCCCCAGTCAAGGCGCATGCTGGAGGCAACCAATCCATATGTCTCTCTTTTTCGCTCTCCTCCTCCCCCACCCCCTCCCTTCCTTCCACTTTCTCAAAAAATTAATGGGAAAAAATATCTTCCAATGAGGATTAACAAAAATAAATACTTAAATATAGTTGAAGAGATGGGACTTACAGAAAAAGAAAGGTCACTAAATATAGTATAAAAGAGGTTAAAGATAATAGTAGAGGAACACTGAAGGGGAGGGAAAGGAGCTCATTATGGAGGGGAAGATAATTAGGGAAGGCTTCTTGAAAGAGGTGGAACTTGACGTGAACCTTGAAAAATAGATGGTATTGAGATACCCAGAAAGGCTGGGCAGGTATTCAAGGCAGGGAAAATGGCAAATACAGTGGGAAGGAGACTGGATTATGTGATATGTTGGCAGTTGGAACTTCAGAAGGGAAGATCAGGAGACAAGGCAAGAAATACCATAGGAGCATATTGCAAAAATCTGTAGGATCCAAGAATTCTTACCTCATTAGTCAGGGAAGAGTGTATTGGGACATTTTGAGAAGAGAGTAACTTAAGAACATCAGTCAGTGATTTTTGTACAAAATGGAGTAAGAGAAAATAAGGACTAAGGGCAAGAGGATGGCTTAATGATACTATTAAATAACCTAGAATTAGGGAGATGGTAGTTAAATAGAAAGGAGATGACATGAAGGATATGAACTGAGAATTGTAAGCCAAGAAGAAGAATGACCAGGAATGGACAGTAAGGAAAATGAGAAACAGAAATAGAGAAATCAGGAGGGATGCCTGGTTTATCATAGATTTTTTTGCTCATTTCAGGCATGGATATTGAAGTGGATCAGAATGTCTAAGTGAAAATATCTGATAAGCAGTTGGAATTGGCTCTAGAGAGAGGTGAAAAGTAGCATTGTAATTCTAGTACAATAAAAAAGATTGTACTGGATTAAAGTTGTTATATTAGTACTCACAAGGAAATCATGTCAGGATGACCTCCTTTCTTGCAAAAATGTTGACGAGCTAGAATAAAGAAATTAAGCATATCTGTCACAAAAACCAAAGGGCAGATGGGATTAGTCAGGAATATGATAATGCAGCCTGGCCAGTTTGGCTCAGTGGTTGGAGCACTGGCCTGCAGACCAGAGAGTCCTGCGTTCGGTTCCCACTAGGGGCATGTACCAAAAAAAAAAGAATATGATAATGTAGAGAGAGATCTGAAAGTGCATTAATTAGTTTGGTAAAGTTCCTTTAACTATTGAGAGTGATGGAGCCCAAGATAAGCAATTGGAGGGGGGATAAGTACAGACAAGTGATAAAAAAGTGATTTTCTTAAGTTAGGGATGTGTGCATGTGTATCGGGCATGAATTTGTTTTGTCTTCCCTCTGGGGATACCCTTATTCAAGCTGCAACCAAAAGAGCTCTGAAGTATTTTTACAAATCTCAGCTTAGCAGATTGGCAAATACAGTATGTAGCATTTAGGTGATTTTTATGCTAAATAATTTGAACAGTTGAATACCTTTTATTTAATTTTATTTTAGAATCTCCCACCTTCTGTTGTGGCTACTGTTGGTGGTAAAATTTTCACATTTGGCTCCTATAGGCTTGGAGTACACACCAAAGGTAACTGCTTTTCTATATTCTACTGCTAAGAACTTTCAACAACAAGTTTTTATTTGTTCATAGTTTAGAAATACAGAAGAAAAAAATTTCCATTATCTCACTATTCAGAGCTAATTATTACTAACATTTTCTATACTCGCTGCATACTTTATTGTACATATGTTTGTGTGTACTTAATAAAAATAATAAGAAATACTTTGATTTGCAGGAGCTGACATTGATGCACTTTGTGTAGCTCCAAGACATGTGGAGAGGTCTGATTTTTTTCAGTCTTTTTTTGAAAAATTGAAACATCAAGATGGCATTAGAAATTTAAGAGTAAGTATCCTCTTGTGTTTAATATTTTGAACTTGTTAAAAATAACTAAAAGCTAGGGCTTATGATTGTTGAAATATTTCTTAAGAAGTTGCTTTATCTCATTAGGATAATGATAAAGAACACATGCTTTACAAAGTTTTACAGATCTGGATTTGAATCTAGAAATTTAGCTCTTAGATTTTGGTCAAGTTACCTATTCTCTCTGAGCCTTAGTTTCCTCACTTGCAAAATGGAGATGGAGTAATAACATTTTTATAAGGTTTTTCTGAGAATTGATGATATAATTTACAAATATATATAAAGTTAATTAGTAGTAACCCTTTATATGTGTATATGTTGCCATTGATTCGTAAATAAAATTTCAGCACCAGTGATTCATCAGACACTGGCCTTAGTTCCACAAATACAATAGTGAACAAGACAGTTTATGGGAGGGAGGGAAGGATTGGGAGAACGAACCAAATGAATAGTTTTTTTGTTTTGTTTTTTTTTATTCTCACCCGAGGAAATTTTTCCATTTTTTGTTCAGGTAGAGTGGGAGGGAGAGAGAGGAACAGAGAGAGAGAGAGAGAAACATCAATGTGAAAGGAACACATCGAGTGGCTGCCACCTGCACAACCGACCAGGGCCGGGGACAAACTGCAACCGAGGTACGCGCCCTTAGCGGGAACCAAACCCGGGTCTCTCAGGACCGCAGGCCGACGCTCTAACCGCTGAACCAAACCGGCCAGGGCCTGAATGAATAGTTTTAATACAATCTGAGGTGCTAGGATAAGATGGAAATTAAAGAATCTGCATTATTGGGTGTCTAGGAATGGAGAAGAAAGTTAAACATTAGGTTGGAGAATTAAGGAAGACTCAAAGACGTTTCTACTAAATCCAAACTATATTGACTATATTATTTTTTTGATAGATTAATCATGAGTTCTGATTGTATTTTAATTTCTGACACAAGTGCCCTTTGTAAATGATCAGTTTTCAATTTAATCTCAACAAATAGTAAGTACTCAGATGATAGCAGTTCTGCCTGCTAGTTTATGATGAATATTTTTAAGAGAAGAATAAGTTAGGTAACTAACTGTCATAGACATTTTGTGTATCTTAAATAACACAGTTGCAAAGTAGGAGTACTTACCTAGAATGAGAGACCAAGAACATTTTCACTTTTTCTGTTAAGATAAAATTGAGGGCAAAGGTATTCACATCATTGGCAGTTAGGAAAGGTGTACAAAGGATTATACCATATATATATATAATTTTTTCTTTTGTAGGCTGTAGAAGATGCCTTTGTACCTGTTATAAAATTTGAATTTGATGGAATTGAAGTAAGTGTTTTCAATATTTTTCTGACTTTACGGTTGAATTACTTAACCCATGAGGTTTTTTTTCTAGTTTTCTTTTTTAATAAGTCTTAATTTAGGAACGTATCTTAAAGAATCAAATAGTCTTTAGTCCCTCACCTTTCTATCTCCTATATCCGTTGACTTCTCACCATGGAAAATGAACTTTTATTCCTACCCCATTTTTCTCATTCCCATAATCCTCTAACATAATTATAATTTTGGTGGAACAGTATTTAGTGTTCACATTATTATGATCTTATAAATAATGCTCAAAACTGAGCACAAAGTATCTAGACTACCATTTTTGCTGTGTGGCATTTTGTTCTCTTGGGAGTTAATTGCTTTGCAATTTGTTAGCTTGGGCCTTATGCTTAAGACTAATTCAAACCCACCCTGTCCTAGTTGTCTAAGTTTCCTTTTAATGGATTTAGATTTTTTAGGTATTCTGTCATCATCTTGAAAAATATCTCAGAATTTTCTCACCGATTCCAGTCCACACTGATTATTCTCCATTGCTGATATACAGCTGACATCCTAACATCTTTTTTTTTTCCTGTCATCCTGGGATTTCCTTATACTTCTCTAGAGTTTTCTTTCTTGACTCTCATTTTAGTGGCACTCATCCACTTCCTTCCTGAGAGAGAGCACATGTGTTTGAGATCTTGCATATTTAAAAATGTCCTGGCCAGTGTGGCTCAGTGGATTGAGCGTCATCACTGGGACCGAGGTCCCAGTTCGTTTCCCTATTAGGGCACATGCCAGGATTACAGGTTCAGTCCCCAGTAGGGGGCATGCAGGAGGCAGCCAATCGATGTTACTCGCTCATATTAATGTTTCTATCTCTCTAAAAAAATATCTTTATTATTTTCTCACACCAAATTGGTAGTTTGGCTGAGTAATGTTCTCAGAATTTTGAAGGCCTTGCTTCATTTTCTTCTAGCTTCCATGCTGTGTTGAGAAGTGTCATGCCATTTGGTTCTTCATCCTTTGTATGTGATCTGTTTTGTCTCTTTGGACACTTAACATGATTTTTTTTTTTCTAGTTTTCACAGTTAAAAAATTCATGGTAATATATGTTAGTATGTGTCTTTTCGATCAAACATGCTAGGTATTCAGTAGTCCTGTTTCAATTTAGAAACTTCTATCCTTCAGTTCTTAGAAATTGTATTGACTTCCATTGTATTGTTTCCTTTCTTTTCTGGAGCTCCTGACCACCTTTTTTTTTTATCCTCACCCGAGGACATTTTTCCATTTTTGTTCAGATAGAATGGGAGGAAGAGAGAGAAAGAGAGGGAGAGAGAGAAACATTGATGTGAAAGGGACACATCGAGTGGCTGTCTCCTGCACAACCCCCGCTGGGGCCGGAGACAAACTGCAACTGAGGTACGTGCCCTTAGCGGGAACCGAACCTGAGTCTCTCTGGACTGCGGGCCAATGCTCTAACTGCTGAACCAAACTAGCCAGGGCCTGACTACCCTTTTTTTTTTTTTAATTTTCCTTCCACTTACTGGCCACATCTTCATATTTTTTCTCCTTTTTATGGTTTTCTTATCTCCCAAACTTTCTGTTGTTTTCTGTTTCTGCTGTCATATTTTTAATTTCTAAGAATATTTTTTTTGTTACATATGTATTTATTTAAAGCCTCTGTTCTTATTTCTTGGTTACAAATATTTTTTATCTTTGCTTTCTTAGATCTGCTGAATCTGTTACCACTTGCTCATCTACTTTCCAGTTTTCATAATTTTTGCTGTTGTCTTGTATTTTTTTTTTTTTTTTGGGTCCTAGAGGGTCACACCTTTAAAAAGAAAACAAAACTAAGCAAAAACAAAGCAAATTTTGCTGGTATCTTAGAGGGGTTTCCAGAGGGAGTGAATGTAAATGTGTGTTGGATCTGCCATCTTTATCTAGAAATTCAATAAGGTCTTTGATTTTTTTTTTTTTTTTTTTTTTTTAATGCTTGGCATATGTGTTAAAATTAAAATGCTTTCTCTTAATTTGAAGATTTAATTGCCCTCACAAAACTTTTCGGTGATTTTCCCATATGAGATTGCCTACATAGGCCTTTTGAAATTTTGGTAGAACTTCCAGTACTTATAATTACAACTTTTTAATTTTGACAAGGGGAGGAGGAAGAATGGACTAGAAGAAGAAAAAGTAATACTTGGTTTTTTTTTTGTTTTTTGTTTTTTGCATCTTTCCTAAGATTGATCTAGTCTTTGCAAGACTGGCAATACAAACCATATCAGATAATTTAGATCTAAGAGACGACTCTCGACTGAGAAGCCTTGATATAAGGTGTATTCGCAGCCTAAATGGTAAGCTTCTAAAAAGAAATCTCAGCCACCTGCCTGAAAACAGTTTGACAGAGAGAAATCTATTTGCAGAACTATTAATGGACATTTTAAGGAATTGGACTAACTTATTTTTAAAATGATAATGTACTTTTCTCTATACAGGTAATCTGACCACATTTAAGCATCTTTAAAATAAATTTGTTTGAATGTTTATGTTTATAGTAGTGGTTTTCAAACATACTGGTCGCAGGACCTATTTATACTCTAAAAATTTATTGAGGACCCCAAGGATCTGTTTATGTGGGTTATATCTAATACTGACCATGTAATATGGTCAATATTTACCATATAGAAATAAAAACAGAAAATTTTAAATTATTTGTTTGTTTACTTTTAAATAACAATAGTCAACCCATTATAAGTGAATTTAAATACATTTTTGTGTGAGTAATGGCTTATTTTGCATTTTTGCAAATCTTTTTAATATTTGATATAATAAGACAGCTAGATTATCATATTTGCTTTTGCAGTCAATCTCTTACAATATTTTGTTTTGATTGAAGCATAGGAAGAGAATCTGGCCTCTTAAATATATGTAATTGGAATAGGGAAGAGTATTTTAATAATATTTCCAGATAATTGTGGATATTTTTTGATACTACACTAACACTTGACCAGTAACAGGTGTGGTTTTTTTGTTTTATTTTATTTTTTTTATCCTCACCCGAGGACATTTTTCCTTTTTTGTTCAGATAGAGTGGGAGGGAGAGAGAGGAAGAGACAGAGAGAGAAACATCGATGTGAAAGGGACACATCGAGTGGCTGCCTCCCGCACGACCCAACCAGGGCCAGGGACAAACTGCAACCGAGGTACGTGCCCTTAGCAGGAACCAAATCCGGGTCTCTCTGGACCACAGGTCTACGCTCTAACCGCTGAGCCAAACTGGCCAGGGCAACAGGTGTGTTTTTTTCCCACAGCTTTATTGAGGTCTAATTACATACTGTAAAATTCATTCTTTTTAGGTGTACAGTTTAGTAGTCTTAAGTATATTCAGAGTTGTGCACAATTCAATTTTAGAACATTTTCATCATCCTCAAAAGATCCCTCATACCTATTTGCAGTCATTCCCTTTTCCAAACCCCCAGTCCCAGGCAACCACTAATATATTTTCTATTTCTATAGATTTGCCTTTTCTGGACATTTTATAGAAATGGGATCATACAATATGTAGTTTTTTATGTCTGGCTTCTTTTACTTAGCATGTTTGAAGTTTATGTCTGTAGCATATATCAGTAGTTTGTCCTTTTTATTGCTGAGTAGAAGTGATCTGTTTTTAAAGGTTGGTTAGAATATCAAATCTAAAACTATATCAGTTAACTTTTTGTACTCTATTACATTAAAATCCATTGGTCTGTCTTATTCTTTGACTGGATCTTTTACTCATGCTTGATTTTGTACTATGATGCCTTCATTATTTGGAAATTTTTAGTTCACAAAATAATTTGGCTCTTCTAAATGTTAATTCACATTTTATTATGAAGTATCAAAAATCAAAATTATATTTATTAATATCATCTCCAATCTTATCTAAAAGTCTTTAAGTATTGGAGAGCTCAGAAGCTCACAGTAGCAGATACTAGTCCAAAATTCTCAGTTTTACTTAGAAACTCAAATATTATTGGCAATAAATTTTCCTTGATGCAAGGCTCACTTTATTCTTTTTAGAAAATATCTGCTAAATTCCCAAGTATGAATAACCATAGTTTGTCTATCAACCATTATTTCAAGTAAAACTGGTATTCCTTGAAAAAAAGCAGGTAGTTTAGCTTTCATGGAACATGTTCAAATATCTGCACAGGTTCCTTTCCTGTCTTCTGACTGCAAATACATGGCAGTAAATATGTCTGTTCAGTACATTGTTGCCACAGCTTTGATTCATTGCTAGAGTTCCAGCAGTTTTACCCACCACTGCGATTGCACCATCAGTGCAGATGTTAACACAGTGAAGTAGGCAAAGAAAACCTTAGTGTAATTATAAAAATAGGTTTGACCTAACAGATTCCCAGGGGTCCACAGACCGTACTTTGAGAACCATTGGTTTATAGCATCTTGTTTAACTGAATCATTGTGTTTAGCAGTATTTCCAGAGTGCAACAGTAAATCACAGTGTTTGTGAATAAGGTTGGCATTAAAGCAATAACACATTTATAACTTGGGAGCATGTTGATTAACAGTAAAATCAAATGTGGAAGAAAGCTAAAAAGGTAGTCCTATCTCTTATTTTATTATTGGGTTACTTTACCCAATGTGTTTTTTAATTCTTTAAAAAGTAAAGTGATTTCTCATATATATAAGTGCAAAATTTCAAAGACAGAGAGAAAAATAAACCCTCACATTTTATTACCTTTGATATTTTTAGCATTTGAGAGTCTGGAGGTAAAAGGGCTTAGGATTAACTGGGTTTTGTTGCATAATGAAAAGTGAATATTTTATCTTTTTCAGGATGTAGAGTTACTGATGAAATTTTGCATTTAGTGCCAAATAAAGAAACTTTTAGACTCACCCTAAGAGCAGTCAAATTATGGGCAAAACGTAAGTATCCCAACTCTTATTTTATGTTTGTATTATAAAATTTACAATTTTTAGTTGCCAATAATAGAAGCATACATGAAAACTCTGGAGCCTGTTGATATTGAGGGATTGAAGTCTAATAAGTTTTGGAGATGTTATTTCTTTTTCGGGTGCAGGGGTTATGGTGCTATAATGTGTGACTCTACCTCCTTTTCCCATTGATGAAAACTGAAAAGCCCCTGACTTTCCATCTTAGGTTTCAGCCAGGCAGTCAGAATGAGTTAGGACTTGAAGAGTGAAACCCTCATTGTACTTGGAGCTCTCTATGGGCAGAACCATCTTACTTATCTTTGTCTCCCCATCACCAACAAAGTTTATAGTAAGTGTTCACAGTAAATTTATTAAATGAAGAGCCTACAGTGATAGTTTAACTTTTTGTTTTTACATTTTTTTTTTTTTTTTAATTTTATTTATTCATTTTTTGGTACGTGCCTCTAGCGGGAACTAAACCCGGGACTCTCTGGTCCGCAGGCCAACGCTCCAACCGCTGAGCCAAATCAGCCAGGGCTGTTTTTACATTTTAACACTCTTCTAATAAAACCTGGAACTGCACTAGTTTATATGTATAGGATGTGGTTGATGAAGACCCAATCCTGAGCTGACACAGCACATTTTGTACTATTTGTAACTACATTTAAGTAGTGCTACACTTCTGGCACTAAGTTTTACATAGTCTAAACAGTGCTCTCCAATAAAACTTTCGGTGATGATGGAAATGTTTCCTATCTGTGCTGTACAACACAGTAACCATGTAGCTACCAAGTCCTTGTGCAGATGAGGAACCGAATTTTATTTAACTTTAATTTAATTTACAGTTAAATTGCACCTAAGAGAAGTGATATGTCCACACAAAAACTTATACACAAATGTTCATAGCAGCATTATTCATAATAGTCAAAAAGTAGAAACAACTATGTTATATAAATTGATGAACAGATAAACAAAAAGTGGTGTATTCATAATGTGGAGTATTATTTGGCAATAAAAAAAGGATGAAGTATTTATTGATACGTTACAACATACATGAACATTGAAATCATTATATTGAATGAAGGAAGCCAGTCATAAAAGACCCATATTATACAATTCCATTTATATGAAGTGTCCAGAATAGGTAAATCTATAGAGACAGAAAGTAGACTTCAAGTTGCCTAAGTCTGGGAGGATTGGCAGGCACAGAGGAGGGGTGTGACTGTTAAAAGTTTCTTTGGATGGTGATAAAAATGTTCCAGAATTGATTATAGTGATGATTACACAACTCTGTGAAAAATATATTAAAAGTCATTCAATTTTATACTTTAAATGGATGAGTCTTAAGGTATGTAAATGATGTCTCAATAAAAGTCGTTACCCCCCACCCCCCAAAAAATAGCCATATATAACTTGTGGCTACCATAATATTAGTACACATCTAAAAAAAACCTTAAGCAAGCAGAATTTGTCATTTGGCTCAGTTATCTTGTATAGTGAGAATAAAGTAATTTGCAGTGAGAGGATATCACAAACAACTTGTCTTTCCTTACAGATTAAATACCATGTTTTGTTAATTCTTAGATGCATATTTTTTATGTTTAATATATCTGAAATTGATATTTTGTATTTTTTTTCTCTTAATGGGATATAAAATCATGCTCTATTATATAATTGAAAGGATCTTAGGTTTGATGAAATATGGTAATGCTTTTTTATAGATTGCTATAAGAAACAATCATACTAGAAATGAGTAATATCGGTGGTATGCTATACTTTATGGAGAAGTATCCAAATTATGCAAAATACTAAAGTTAGTCTCCAGCCTTACACTTGATTTTAAAATGCCCAGGAATATGATTGCTAATGAAATGTTTATATTTTTCCCTACTTACAGACCCTCCAGATCTTGCCTCCTTCTTTTCATTTCTTTCTCAACCAATAAATATTGAAATGTGGGAGATTCCAAGGTTATATCAGTGGAACCTAGTTCGGCAGTCAGAACTGAGGCAGGGAATGGGGTGTCTGTATTGGAGGGCTAAGTAGAAGGCTGAGGTGAGCAGCTGATGATTTACCAATAAGACTGGGCCTAGCATGAAGGTCTGCTTATTGATTTTAATATCTCTATAGAGGAAAAGACTTCTAAACAACAGTCTTAGGAAGGAAGTAATCCTGTTCTTTACAGTTGAATGCTATGGATAGTAGGTCCTAACAATAATTAACAAATATGTTAATTTTATAGGACGTGGTATTTATTCCAACATGCTGGGATTCCTTGGTGGTGTCTCTTGGGCAATGCTAGTTGCAAGAACTTGCCAATTATATCCAAATGCAGCAGCCTCTACTTTAGTTCATAAGTTCTTTTTAGTTTTTTCTAAGTGGTAAGTATTCATGTGCATACTTGCACTATTTACTAATCTGCCTTTATGTAAATTTGTTTGGAAATTTAAGAGCTATGTATAGACTTTTTCTGTTATCTTACATTACTTTTTTTATAATATGTTTTTATTGATTTTAGAGAGGAGGGCAGAGGGAGACATTGATTGGCTGCCTCCTGCATACCCCCTAGTGAGGATCAAGCCCACAACCCAGGCATGTGCCCTGACCAGGAATTGAACTGGCAGCCTTTTGGTGCATGGGACCAGGCTCAAGCAACTGAGCCACACTGGCCAGGGCTGCATTCCTTTTTTAAGTTAAAAGTTTAAAAACATCAAATTTGAACCAGTGGGATACCAGATGGCACTTTCCAGGGATCTGTAAATGTGTACCTTTAGCTTGAGAGAGTGGTCACAATACTAGCCAGTTACTATGTTGAGGTGGTTTAAGTCTCCTCATATGTAAAATGGAAATGATAATCATAGCTACTGCATGGATTTTTTAGGAGTATTTTCAGTAAATATTAGCTGCTGCTGTTATTATCAGAGTTAAATCCATAAAAGTAAATGAGAAGGGGAAAATTCAGATTTAAATTAGATACAGCAAATGGATAAAGCAGGATTTACCCTTTCAGAGAATACTGCTTTAAAATAAGCAGATTTGTTCTATTTTTTAAAATGCCAAATACCCAAAACATTTGCTGTGGAAAGTAATGATTTTAGCATTTCATATAGTTGCTGAAGTAAGGTCCTATGTGAGTTAATTTGTCTTATTCATGTTAGGGAATGGCCAAATCCTGTGCTGCTGAAACAACCAGAAGAAAGCAATTTGAATTTGCCTGTTTGGGATCCTCGGGTATGTGACTTACAGAATTTCATTAAATCTTTTTTGAAAAGGACGATTCTCTAAATTACAGTCTAAAGATAATTCCTCTTGTGCCTGCTCATCTTCCTTCTATATAACTATAGTCCTTTCCCTTCTTCTTCTGTGTTTTTTGGTGCAGATGATGTGTTTCTCCAGTGATAATCCAGATGTTACATCAATTAAAAAATCACCCATATAAGACTAGATGAGTAGGTGTATCAACTATAATGTCATAATCCATTGTTAAAAACTCTTATAATTTCTAATAAAGTACTGAGGTATATAAAAGATTTGCTTTGCAGTACAATTTAAAGCAGATTCATGGTTCCAAGATCACATAGCTATCACTCACCTTGCTTTTTGTTTAATTCTCTCACGAGGATTTTTCCATTGATTTTTGCATAGAATGGAAGAGAGGGAGGGGTGGGAGGAGAGAGAGAGAAACATCTGTGAGAGAGAGACACAGCGATTGGTTGCCTCCTGCACAACCCTGTCTGGGGCTGGGGATTGAACCTGCAACCCAGGTACATGCCCTTGACTGGGAATCATACCCGGGACCCTTCAGTCCAAGGGCCGATGCTCTTAACTGCTGAGCCAAACTGGCCAGGGCCTCACCTTGCATTTTAATTTGCTTTTAGAGTAAGTGCTCATTTCTCTGAGTAACCTAGGGGAAGTCAACCATTGAATAGGTGCAGAAAGAGGATTGAGAACCATTGGACCATATAATGCCTTTTGCAGCTATGATACTGTATTTTGTTGGTTCTAAAAGACCATGTTTATAAGATGCACCATCAATTTAACAACTTTTTAGGGGAAAAGTAAACTTCTGCAGTATTTCCTTTGACTGTCAGTCACATCTGACTTCAGAAATAAATGTAGTTGGGGAGGGGAAAATGTACTTCTTAGAATTGAGGAAATGTAGTATTGAATTTATATTTCATATTCTTCAGACTTTTGGGGAAATGAAGTGAGGACAACTGAAATAGGAGAATAGATCAATTATTCTGCTTCTAATTTCACAGGTAAATCCATCAGATAGGTATCATCTCATGCCCATAATCACCCCTGCCTACCCACAACAGAATTCTACGTATAATGTGTCCACATCAACTCGAACAGTAATGGTAGAAGAATTTAAACAAGGTAAACCTGTTGGCCCTATTGCCCTTTACAAATTCCCACAAGTTTTTGGTTGACAACAGTTTTATTCTATATTGCAGTTATGCCTATTATTTCTTAAAGTTCTTTCAACTGTGTATTTACTTTTTTAGTAAATGGTTTTCCAAAATACATGATATTGTTAAGGCCAGAAATGGAGCCATCCCAATATGGTTGAAATTGATTTTTGTGTTCTGAGAAAGAACATAATAAATTTACATTTTTTTTTAACTTAAGAATTTGGTGGGGTTAGAGGTTTGGGGGTAGGGTAATACAGTAATATGATTGTCGGTGTTCAAAATCAACCAACCAATCTCTCTCTCTCAACTTAGGTCTCACAGTCACAGGTGAAATTCTTCAAGGGAAATCGGATTGGTCCAAACTACTTGAGCCACCAAATTTTTTTCAAAAGTATAGGTATTTGAAATTTTCCTTTTTTTTAGTGTGTGTGTGTAAAGAATGTTAAACTTACAAAGTTAATAAATGATAGGTGAAAATTGTCACTTATATTTCAAATGAGGTAGAGAATAGGTTAACAGAATTCCTAAGTAATGAAAGAGTCTGTCTCTGTTTTGTAGTATTATATAACCCAGTGTTAGTGATTCTTTTGGGTTTTATTTTTAGTGAATTGTGCCTTAATTGTAGGGTCTGTAATTACTTTTGTAAAAATTAGAACTTGTTTTGATTTTCATAAAGTGTGTGTGCCTGCATTAGCTCTTTTGTTCACTGGGAGAAAGAAAGAAAAATTAATGATGGAAAATCAAACACTAACAACATTTATGGCTTTTTTTCCTTTTTTCTGATTGTTGCTGAAAATTCTTCATAGACATTATATAGTATTGACTGCCAGTGCATCAACAGAAGAAAACCATCTAGAGTGGTAAGACTTATATTTCAAGTTCTTTACCTGCTGTATGGTGGCTACATTTGTATGGTGCCTTACCATTTACTTTTTCTATTTTTAAAATTATTAAATCTTATTGATGCTGTTATACGTGACTATGGAGCATCATTGTTTAAGAAATGCTATCAAAGTAATGTTTCAGAATCAAAAATAAGACAAGATAATGATATATATACAGATCTTTGCCTTCTGTCACTTCTCAAAATCAGTTTTAAGCAAAGTTGTGAGTCAACTTAAATAATTCTGATAGCCTCTTACTGAGTTTTCCATCCTTGCCATCATGTTTTTTCCATCAAAACTATAAGAAAGAAACATTTTATATATTCTTTTAATTTAGGAGATGGTGGCATGAAAGGTTTCAGAATTTTAAGCTTCTGTCAACAGAGAGGAGATATTTTGGTCAAGAAGCAGTGCATTCTTTCTAGTGCACCTAAATATATTTCCTTTGTCTCTAGTGTATTGACTTTCATAGCTCCATCAGACAGAAGCTATTAGGCTACCGGAGATGATTGTGCTTTCTTCAGGTCTGACTTCTGGAAAAGGAAAACAGGACAGTACTATCTAATTTTTCTTCAAGGATTTAATGCTTATTTCATTGATAATTAAAGGGACCCTAAAAAGAAACCTTTCACTAAAACAGTATTTTATAAGTCAGGAAACTATGGTCTGGGCCGAATCCAATCTGCTACCTGTTTTTATAAATATAGTTTTATTAGAACACAGCCACACCCACTGATTTATATGTTGTCTCTGGCTACTTTCTTGCTACAAGGCAGTGTTGAACTGTTGCAACAGAAATAGAATGGCACACAAAGCCTAAATCATTTATTATCTGTCCCTTTACAGAGAAAGTTTACCAGTTTCTCATTTAGATTACCGTGAGGAATAATTCAGTGTTTTGTATATCTACTGTTGAGCACACAGTTATAATGTGTAAGCTTTTTCTGGTGTTTAAAAAAATGTAAAAATGTTCTTGTACTTATTCTTTCTAATTCTTAAAATCATTAATATGATAGCTGACAGTGGTCATATTTCTTTTTTGTTGTTTTTGTTTTTTTGTTAATCCTCACCCAAGGATGTTTTTCCCTTTTTTTGTAAAAGAGAGAGTGGTAGGGACTAAGGGGGTAGGGAGAGGACAAATAGAGACAGAGACATTAATTAGTTACCTCTTACACAACCCCAACTAGGGCTGGGGTTCGAATCTGCAAACTAGGCACATGCCCTTGAGTAGAATCGCAGCCCAGAGACCCTTCAGTCTGGGGGCCAATACTCCAGCCACTGAGCCAAACCAGCAGTCACATTTCTTAAGTGAAATAGAAAAGTTATAGAAATCTGATGAGACTTTTGATATTTTAGTAGTATCAGATCTGATTTTAGTGAATTTCTAAATGCAATATCTAGTATCAATTTTGTAAAAATCAGAGCATATGTATTTCATAAATTAAGTGCCAATTATTAGTTTTGTGTCACATTATGTAAACACATCTTAGCCTTAGGGTTTAGACATACAATTTGAAAGTGGAAAAAATATTTAGAAACAGATTAACCATGCTGAAATCATGACTATTTTATGGTCTTTACAGGCAGATATTTTAGACCAGGAATGCATTAAATAGATCGGTTCTTCTTTTTAAAAAAGAAGGAAAAAAGAAATGCACTGAGTACTTGTCATTTCCGTGAATGATATTTTAAAGAGTCACTAAGATATTGGACTGAATTTTAAAAATGAATATGTAAAGCATCATAGCTGAAATGCTTGATTTACTTGGCTATAACTTCCAAATTTAACATGGAAAAATTTTGTTTTGTATTTTAGGGTTGGATTAGTAGAATCTAAAATTCGTGTACTTGTTGGAAATTTGGAACGGAATGAATTTATTACTCTTGCCCATGTAAATCCCCAGTCATTCCCAGGAAGTAAGGAACATTATAAAGAGTAAGTTAATTATTTTTTAATATTATAGTTCTTAAATAATGTTATTTGATATATGCATTGTATAAGATCAGTTGTGAGACTGTTATTTAATAGGCATTAATGGGGGATGATACATTCTGTATTTGAGTAGTCGTGCATTAAAACAAAGTGCATGCTATATTGGTAGCCCACAGACCCCAGCAAAAACTCCATCACAATATTTGGAGCATCTTCAAGTATATATTCAGTAAGTCATTTTCAAAGCCGCGTGATCTTCCTTATAATAACATACCAATGTTCTTGGTGTCATTTTCAAGAATTTGGCCAAAACATTGAAATTTATATGTGTTCTTTCATAAAGACACAAGTTTTAATTACCAGATGGCATCTGTAAAATTGTAAAAAAATTAATGGAAATTCTTAAATTTTATTTTATAGCAATAATTACGTATCAATGTGGTTCCTCGGAATAATTTTTCGAAGAGTAGAAAATGCAGAAAGTGTTAACATAGACTTGACATATGATATACAGTCATTTACTGATACAGGTAAGACTTCGTCATTGTAGAGCTTTGGTTCTCAATCTTGGCTGTAATGCAGTATTATCTGGCTGAGTTTTTAAAGTTCTACAGTTGGTTAAGTGAATATCGTACATCTGTATTTTGAAAATCTATGCTGCTTTAAAAGGCATGATAAAACAATTTCCATGACATATTAAGTAGGGGGGAAATTGCAGAACAGTGAGTATAGTGTGCTACCATTTATATAAGTAAAGAATATATGCATGCTTGTTTAAAATAGAATATTTCTGGAAGAATATATAGTTCTTTAAAAAGAAACTGGCTGAACTGGTTGCTTCTAAGTCAAGAAATCAGGTGTGTTTAGGGGATAGGAGTGAGAAGACTTTACTGAATATTCTTGAACCCTTTGAGTTTTGTACGATGTGAATGTACTTTTTTCTAAAATAGAAAAAAAAAAAGACTAAAGAAACTCTACAGGTGATTCTTAGTGTACAAGCCAGGGTTTGTAATCACAGTCATAAAAATGATATGCTTTTTACGTTTTTTTGGTTCGTTTTTAATGTGAAATAAATATCAGTCAATACAGGCTTGCAGAATGTTTCAGAGTCAGTGAAAAGAGTGTCTTTCACATCTAGCTCCCTAATACCTCTCTCTGGTATAACTTAATATATCTATTATAAATTTGGAATAGTTTTAAACTGGAATAGTGTACATTTATACTATTAATATTCTTGATTGGACCCATCTGAGATTTCAGGATGTTTTTTGACTAGCCCTCACGTTTATCATGAAAGTGCACATTCCTCTGCATTACCTTAGAACTATTGAATCACACTCTGGGAATGGAGCCAGAGAGTCTGCAAGTTGAACAAGCACTCCTAGTGATTCTTTTATCAGCAGTCAGGAATGAAAACATAGATATCAATTTTTCCATTCTAATTTGGCTTGACTTTTTTAAAATGAGGGGATTGGGAATCATTATTATAAATGTATAAAATGTTCTCCAGGTAGAGATACGGAGACCCCAAGAGATTAATTTATCTCATTTCACAGTAGTTACTATGCAAAAGAAACCTTCCATCCCTGTCGCCAGTAAGCTTATAATCTAACTGGATAACCATATTTAACATACATTAAGTCATTTATGCAGTAGTTAATAAAACTGGTTTTCTGATAAGGTATGAAAAGCACTTGTGTAGGAGTCTAGGTGTGTGTATTCTGACCCCAGCAAAGGTGTTCAGGGCTAATGAGCCTCATTCCCCCACCTATATAATAAGGATGATACTTCTAGTTGGTTTCTGACATCTGACATTCTATGATTGGTATAGTAAAAGAAGCTTCATGGAGGGGGAGGACTTGAATTGCATCTTGGATATTTGGTATAAGGATTAACAGACTTGGGCAAATAATTATGAGGAGAGTTTCCTTTTGGGAAAATAACAGAAAACAAGATTTGGATAGAAACTTTTTATTCATACATTTATATTGTTAATGTGATTTGATTTTGGGAACATCTTAGAAATTGTACATGAGAAAAGTAGTCAGTATTTGAATAGCACTGACCTGGTGAAAATGTTTTAGAAGTATTTGTTCTGTAAAGGGATGTGCATTTGTGTTTGTGTAGTGATGGAGAGTATGCATTTTAGAAAAAAAATCTTGGTTCAGGAAGAAGTTTCCATTTAACATATTGACATTGTTGCAGTGTACAGACAAGCAAATAATATAAACATGCTAAAGGAGGGAATGAAAATTGAAGCAACTCATGTTAAAAAAAAACAACTTCATCACTATCTTCCAGCAGAGATTCTTCAAAAAAAGAAAAAGGTGAGTTTGTAATCTTAACTTGCCAATATGATTCCTGGACCAAATTTGCATTCTTACAGCTCCCAAACCCATTGAGAATGTACAGACAATTCAATCTAAGACCAACATCTCACCTTCATTCATCACAAAAGATTATTTTATATGTACTTAAGAACTGAAAAGTTACTGTTCTCATTTGCTTCTTGAAATCCTAAAAGTTTTCCCTCCTTTCAGCAAAGTCTTTCTGATGTCAGTCGAAGTTCAAGTGGAATTCAATCCAAAAGATCATCTCTGGATAGCAGTTGTTTGGATAGCTCCAGAGACACTGATAATGGAACACCTTTTAATTCCCCAGTGACTACAAACAAACCTTCGAAGCTTGATATTTCTCCTTCAGGAGAAACAGAAAGGTCTGTATTTCAAAATTGTCCTTTCAGTCTTCAGTTTATATGAGGATAATGTAAACTTTTCTATCTTTTTCTAAATACCTTTTTTAATTGTTAAATTATTTTGTTTTATTTTACCAGTTAATGTGTTTAAAAATACTGGAGAACTTTTAGTAACCCTATGGGACATGGTATAGATTTATGAATATGTGGGTCTAGATTAGTACATAGAAATGCACGTTTTCTGTTTAATTTTTTTCTCTTAATTCTCACTGTGTCCTCCGTTTTCTTCCCTTTTCTCTTTTTTAATGAAATATTAAAGTAGGACTACCTGAAAGAAGTAATCCTAAATGTTAAAAGTGTTTTAAATAAGTAAAGTTTAGTCATTTAATGCTCATTTAACACTGTTAATAGGAATAACGTTGAGCCTGCTGCTGTAATTGTGGAAAAGCCACTAAGTGTTCCACCAGCTCAAGGACTATCTATTCCAGTCATTGGTGCAAGTAGGTATCTACACTTTTGTTTGTAATGATTCTAATATAAAAATATATATATATTTAATTACTACAATCTGTCTTTTTTCCTTTTCAGAAGTTGACTCTGTAGTAAAAGCTGTATCACCCCCAGCTGTGTGCACTATTCCTACTGTAGTAGGACGAAATGTTATTCCTAGGATCACAACACCCCACAACCCTGTCCAGGGACAACCACATCTAAATGGAATGGCAAATATAACAAAGAATGTTGTGCCCAAGAGATCCCACTCCCCATCTATAGATGTATCTTCAAAGAGGTTGAAAGATATAGAAAAGGTAAAGTTACAACTTTAGTCATGATTTCAGTAGTTGATTTTTAAAAAATTAACTTTAAAGGAGTACTAAGGAAACTCACAGTTCTCCCTAGTCATCTTAGTATTCTATTAGGATTTGCCTGTTCAAAAATAATATTTACTCTAACCCTAAAGGAACAATACTGATTGTTCTTCCTAAATTTAAATTACTATTGTGTCTGAAAATTTGAATGATTAATATAAGTTTCTTCTTGACTTACACAGAAGTCATTGGTAACTAAACAATCATGTTTATTGTGTGTTATAATGTTGATCTCCTCTGCCTCCAGTAGAGGGTGGTAAAACTATTTTATGTATTATAAACTGAATTGTTTTAATCAAAAGATCACTCAAACTAGAAATTAAGGGTGGTCGTTGAATCCAAGCCTACTATAAATTCTCTTATGTGATCAACCCATATTTATAAGTAGTCTTGATGATAGCCTAATCACTAATTAGCTCTCAGTTTATATTGATTTTGTATGTTTTTTTATAGGTAATAATAGCAATTATTTTAATGTTTATATTTTAGTTTATTCGACTTGAATCAAAGTTTAAGGAATCGCGTGCTGCTGAAAACAGAAAAAGAAAATCAGTGGTAAATATATTAATAGTGTACTTCAAAACACTTTTATTGTTCTTTTTTGGGGGACGTGCCCCTAGTGGGAACCGAACCCAGGACTCTCTGGTCCTCAGGCCGATGCTCCAACCGCTGAGCCAAACCGGCCAGAGCCAAAACACTTTTAATTAGGCCCCATGTATCAGGAAAAGTACTGTATTTGAAAGTGGATCAGATCGGATCTGTAGAGTTTTGTTATATTTTATTTCATATAGAAATAAGCATTTTTATATAAGAGAGAAAGTTTACACTTGTATATAATTCTTCTGTTTTTAGGATGCCATTGGGGGAGAATGTATGCCTATTCCAACTATTGATACTTCACGCAAAAAGGTAACAGATAGTCTTACTGATAGGTAATAATATACATAGGTTAAAATGTATACTTAATGTACAGCTACAAAAACTTATTAAGAGCCTAGCACTAGGTGAAGGGAAAGGGTAAAGAGATTTTGTCCCTACCCTCAAAGACCAGCAATATAGTTGGGAGTTAGGAGTGGAAATAGCAAGCAAAGTATATGATCCTAAATATATGTACCCCAAAAGTCTAGAAAAGACAAAGTAGTTTAAGACTTCATGATTTATTCATATTTTGTTCAACCTTTGTTTTTTATTTATCATTAAAAAAGGCAGTTTAGTGCACAGCACAGTAGTTTCTTACCAACACTTGATAGTTATCTTTTGTCATGCACCACTGCTTATGTCCTGATTTAGGGTGACTAGTTAGGAACCATATTATTAATGTTTTGAAGGAATCATATGTACTAGTGTACATACTGAGTGCCTTAAAACATGAGCTAAAGAGCTTCTAAACCTCAATTTAAATTATTTTTTAAAGTGTTACCATTGAAACTAATAATATAGTATTATTAAGCATGGTAAACTGATAAGCAGGTCCTCAAAAATCAGCCTTTTGTAAATCAGAGAAAGTCCTCTGAGAGTTTACAGTGAACAAAGAAGAAAATGGCTTATTTTCACCACCCCCAATTAAATAATAAAGTGGGGTTTTTTTTCATCACAATCAACTGTCATAGGGCCCTAGCAGGTTCCCCAGGATGTATTCTAAATGGCCATTCTAAAGCAAAATAGAGTGACTTCATATTTTCTATTAGTAGTAGATTTGTAAAATTGCTTTTAACATATGAGTGGGTTACAAAAAATGTGTGTATAATTAAAATATGGATATGATAATGGAAGAAAAAGCTTTGAAATGGATATTAAAGTATGAAAGCATGGAATGTCTGGGTTTTGCTTTAAAATATTTCGTGTAAGGGCATAAACCAAACAAATGTGGCAAAATGTTAATGTCTGAGTCTTGGTTATGGCATCGAAACCTTCTTTTTCCTGTTTCCTACTTTTATATGTTTGAAATTTTTCATGTTATTTTGAATGGCTTTGGATATCATATAGATATTTGTTTAGCCAATGTGAGAAGAATTAACTCTTGCAGTCATCTTTGACAAGAAGCTAACATACTGTTTCCATCACACACTGTATTTTAGGTGTCTTCATTTTTCAATTTCTTAAACTTTGCCTTCATCATTTAATAATCTTTAATATTCTCAAAAGCCCTCATATAGATATTCCTGAATTTCACCATCACTGCAGTTACCTTGCCTGATTACAAAGTCAGTTTTCCTGAAAACTAAAGTTTATCTCACGGTGTTCTTTATGAGTGTGTTACAGAAACTAATTGAGGGATGTAACCACATATCAAATTTTCCTCTGTAACACACACTCATTTTACACCTCACACCCCAAGAGTTTCCTGTGTAGTAACCAAGTTCTTCCTATTTCTCTTTATCATTGCCTGACTTTGAGGACTGTGTTCTTTATGTATTTCTTAGTCCAGAAGTAGGATTGATTTAATGTAATAAAGTCCTCTTTCCTATACATCACACTCTTCACACTTTCATCCTTTTCCTATCCCTTTACTTTTTACCTCTGACTGGAAAAAAAGAAAAAAAGTTCCCCAAACAAGAAATGCCTATGAACATTGGGATAAAATATTCAACACATACTTGAGTGTTTAGGAGCTTAAGGGATTTGGGGGGAAAACTCAGTTATGACTGATTTACTAGTTGGGCCTTATAATTTGCTATTCCTTTGTTTCTATTTCTTTGTAATAGAGACTGCCCAGTAAAGAACTACCAGATTCATCATCTCCAGTTCCAGCAAATAACATTCGTGTCATCAAAAATTCCATTCGACTGACCCTTAATCGGTAAAAGCAGTGCCTCCTTATTTAGGTGAATATGCAATCGTTAGTGACTCAGATAAAGCCACTTTTTAAAAAATAGAAGTGGCTGTCATACATAAAATAAGGTGAAAGTCACAGTCATCGGTCTAACAACCTTCAAGTGGTTTTTGAACTCTCACCCTTTGACCTGCAGATGCTGTAGCATCCTCTCATTGATTGCTACATACACTTCTCTGAGGATCACCTGCTGGCAAATTGTCATCTACCATATTATGGCTTTGTGTTGGAGGTTTTACTGCCTTAACTTTTGATGCATATTTCTCTATTATGGGAACCAGTTCTTGGCTCTTTGGACACTGATAAAACAAGTCCTGCACTCCCCCCTTTCATTTTGTCTTATGTTGTAATCATTGTATAGAATTGAAAAAGTTGAAAAAAAAAATTGTCTTGTAATTTTCCAAATGTTAACACATTTACTTTAGCATTGAAACCACTTTGTGAAAACTGAGATAAATTAATGTGAGGTATCTTTTCTGCTTTCCTCATTTGTGTAGATGTACTTATTGTCTTCTGTTTGATTTAACTTATTTTTTCCAGATTGGCACATGAAATATTTAATTTTTTTTTTGTGCCTTTCTGTTCAAGTGTTGCATAGTTACTAGGGAGGATTAGTCTAGTGATTACAAAAGAGTTGGGCACCATAAATTCTCTATATTTTGCCTCCCATGGAGGCCTTCAAAATGCATCTTTATTAAGAATCAAAATAGAACCAGGATACTAAAAAACAGTATATGAATGGTGAAATTGTTACATATCCTATCTCATGCCATTCTTGTTAGCTGGCTGGTATTTTTTACTGAGAAGCAACTCATTCCAGCCTCAACAGTAAGATACCTTTAAGTATGGCAAACTTGTATTTTTGAGGTGTAAAATTAAATTGGCATGATAATTCCTGACTATTACCCCACAACCTCACACATTTTCTTCACAGACTAGGCATGCAGAAATAAGCAGTGGATTTTATTGAAACCTAAAGGCATTTTTGAATGACACTGTTACCAACATTAATTGGCTCAGGACCTTTGTAATTTTTATTTAACTATATGAGTTGTCTTTTTTTACACTGCTTTTTTCAACGCATTTCGTAATATTTTTTAAGTTTCATGAACCGCATGCTCAGTTTATTAAAATCCATAACCATGTAATTCTTGTAATATGTTGATTCAGTGTTTTGTAAATGAAGTCGTATGTATTTTCAGAGTATTTTTGTATGTACTGTAAGATACCATCTTTTCAAAGAGAAAACTTTAAAACCTTTACTGTCTCTCTTTAGTCTAATTTTTTAAACATGGATTATGCTTGAATTATTCTTGAAATGAAATGTATAGATTACACAGCCAGGAACGCTGGTATATATTACCTTATTCAGCTTTCACTCAGCATTTAGTAGATCCAGTAGGAAAAACACAAAGTGGTACATTTGAATAATGCAGGGAAAATATTTGGTTATGTATTTTATAGGACTTATGGGACAGCTTTTAGCCAGTGAAGTAATAGCAGTCCATTTTGTGAGCCCTTTACCATTTATTGAAATACTTGAATTCTGATTGTCAAAGAACAGTACTTCTCCTCCCACTCCTGTTCCATGACCCATAGGTCTCCGAAATGAAAATTCTAGGGTTTACTTGTACAAAGGAAAACTTCTTGGAAGTAAAGAAGAGCGAGGAAAAATAATGATTTCATTATTCACCTTTTACATAGCAGAAGACGAGAATGAAATTCCACAACCAAGTTGTAGCTTCCTTAGCAAGCTGTTCTGTTAGCTGAACCTTTTCCTTTATTTGAATATTTTGAGATTTCTTCTACAAATACTCTATTTGAGTAAAAGTGAATGATTATGAAAGGATTAAGTAATTGTCATCTGACTTCAAACTTTGAAAAATTCTTTAGAAAGGGATTTGATTAAATTTTATATATGATGTGTTTGCATTTCTGTATTTAATATACCTCTTATCCCCTTCTATTATTAGTCTTCAGAGTCTCTTTTAAGAATTCCCTGTACATTATACATCCGTGTTTACCTGTATTTTATAAACAGATTCTTTGGAGTGACTAGTGGAGTCTTTCTTTACTAAGAAAGCAATAGGCCTAACCCTTGTACTATAGTATAGTCCTTTCTCTTGTTTTAAGGGTCCATTCAACATGGGGTTAAGACATAACCAGTGGTTCAAGTTGGAACTCTCAAAGTTGGTATTCTTCAGCTTGTTTGGTAACTGGGAGTTGATGAGATGCTTTTAAGATGTTGGGTTTGGTCACAAATGAAGTTTGTTTTTTTATTATCCTGAACAGTAGGTAGAATGTTCAGTATATTTTGTTACTATTGTAGGAGACCTCCATGGTACTGGTTCCAACTAAGTAAAGGGAAAGTATGATCAGGGTGGGTGTTATTTTATGAGGGACTAAGTAGATGTGTTTGATTTCAGGTGTGAAACTATACTTTTTAAAGTCAAATCTGTTCTTCATTATGTAGACACATGTTCATTTTCACAAGGGTATTAAATTTTAATCTCACTTTTCAGTGGCTGGCTCTGAAAAATAGTATATATCAAAGGAGAACAATTATCTGCTAGTTTACTCTAGGGACACTTTGAGAGACAGGTTTCATGGCTTAAGACCTTATAAAATTGGGGCAGGAGAATGAATTTTAAAAGACTACGTTGGTGCTTACAATAAGAATAACTTTAAGGCAATTTAGTAACATTAAAATGCTCACTATAGAAACAATAAAGTGAAGATAGGTAATGTTGAGATGGGCTAATCTTATTTTCCACTGTCTCACAGCTTCGAAATCAGAATTCCTAATTTAGGTGTCGTAGACCCTAGGGAATCCTTTGCAAGTGTATATAAGAAGTTTTTGTTTATATGCATTTTTTCGGGGGTGGGGGGGGGGATTCAAAGCTTTCATAACCTTTTCAAAGTGGTTCATGACCCTAAAAGGGGGGTGGGGGTTAGGAACCACAGTTGTCCACAATTGAATAATCCCGGGTCTGGGGAATTTTTTTCCTTAAAATTTTTCTGTGGTATCTGAAAATATACTGTGGCTCCTAACGAGTAAAGTGGGCTGATGGAGAAGGCTGGAACACCAAATTTCTCTCCAAGTTTCTTTATATATTTTAGATGAAACGTCTTCAGTATTTAGAAAAATGCTTCCTATTGGATTTATAAATGTCCTCATGTTAATTTAGATTCATCAACTGGGTCAATCTTTAGTTTGACAAATTTCAACCTGAGATTGATCAGTGTAGACAGAATAGCTTAGAATGACCATTAGAAATGGTAAAAAGTACAGTTAATCATTAAAGATCCTCATCCTTTGATTTCAGTAGCATTCAAGGTCTCTTGTTCCTCCATGTTTGTAGTTCAGACCAGAACGTACTGAACAGACCAACAAATAGAACTTTTGTTTAAAGAATATTTTTTATAAATCAAATTGTGTGTTTAAATAAATAACTACCTATTAAATCTTCCAAAGCTTAGAATTTAGGTCATGGTGATAGTGATAAATAGTGCAGATGATGGAAGAAACCAGTCTCAATAATGGTAACTACTTATTTCCTTAGGATTTTTTCAAAAGAATTGTACAAGGTCAGATCCTTCCCAAATTCCCTATTTTTTTCTGAAATAATTTTTCTGATATAATTTTATATTTGAAGTTAGTTGAACATAAGATTATCATCAGACTTGCTAATAATTTTTAAGTTACTGCTACATGTTAGCAAAGACCCACATAATTACCTTATAAAGTACTTAGGATATCTTTGAGGTAAATGGTGCTACATCGCTCACTCCACAGTGTTAATGTAAAGTGAAGGCAGCTGCTCTTCCTTTCTGGCTAGCTGTTTGTGTAGTTCATATTAATTTTTCCTGCCTTTTATTTGGATTGTCTTATTAGTTGTACACATGAGCTTCATTATTTGTCTGGAATAAGTAATCAAATAAACTTGCTTTGATAAATAGGTGTTGATGGTTGATATTATTTGGGAGTAACAAATGTACCAGACATCTTTACTTATTTTTCAAACTGACAGCCTGTTTACCACTCAGACTGTTTGGGGCAGATAATGGTATCCACTTCCTGCTTAATCTGAAAGCAAAACTCATCCTCAATTTGCCTCACAAGAATCACTTATTAAACATTTATTAGCAAGCAATAGCATCTGCCTCATGTATTGAGGGCAAAATTTTGTCAGCCTTGTGACCAATATCAGGTGACCAGAGTCCTCTACTAATGGCTGGACAAAGGTACAGTTAGCAGTCATGCCTTTGGTACTGTCTACAGAAGTACACATTACATTCTTGTTAATGAAGTAACTTTATTATAGCCAATCCACATATCTTGAATATCAGAAGTACTAAGTTCACAAATAAGAACCTGTGTCTACATCATTAAAATTATTAGCAAGCCACTCATAGCACCAATGGAAACACATTTGACATTTATTGAGCTAATTTGCAAGGCCACCTGTATCAATTGAGCAATGGCTAACAGAAGGGCAACCTAGTCCTCACTGGTGCAGCATGGTCTTCCAGGTTGGATTGCCAGCTGACCATCCCTGGAGTGTGACTTTCTGATTAGAGCAACTCACTTGTCCTAGGATATAACACAAATGTCCCACTATGCTGAAATGTTTTAAAGTAAGTTAACATCTTAATAGGTTGTGGATCCAAATGTATTGAAGGACAAAAGAATTTATTTTTTAATCTTCAGACAGAGTAGGAGGGAGAGAGAGAGAAACATTGACATGAGAGGGACACATCTGGTTGCCTCTCGCATGACCCCATCCAGGGCTGGGGACGAACTGCAACTGAGGTTTTGCCCTTGACCAGAATCGAACCTGCGACTCATTGATCTGCAAGCCGGCGCTATTCTGCTAAGCCAAACCAGCCAGGGCAAGGGAATTTATCTTAAAGCACATGTTCTAAATCTATCTCAAACCGTATGATCCAGCCAAACTTACTTATTAGTCCTGAAAAAGACATGCTTCTAAACCAGCAGTTCTCAACCTGTGGGTCGTGACCCTCTTGGGGGTCGAACGACCCTTTCACAGGGGTCGCCTAAGACATAACAGTAGCAAAATTACAGTTATGAAGTAGCAACGAAAATAATTTTATGGTTGGGGGTCACCACAACAGAGGAACTGTATTAAAGGGCCTTGGCATTAGGAAGGTTGAGAACCCTCCCTTAACAATTTAGTGATTGACATTTTGGGCCTAATGATTGCATAAAAGCCTTCCATGACTATTTGGCCAGAGTGATTCATTCTACATTCCCTAACATGTTATTTGCATCTTTGAACATTTTAACTATTCTCACTTTGGTAATGTTCAGTTTACCTACTTGTTTGCCTGATGAGATTGTAGGTTTGAGAATAGTAACCTTTATCCAAGAATCTTTATGTAATGGGTGCTCAGAAAATGCTGAAGAAGAAAATGCTTGAGTCCTGTTTGGTTAGTTTTTGATCTTTTGTTTTTTATTTGTTTGTTGTTTCATTTGAATAGGATTGTCTAGAAGAGGCCTGACGAAAGAACTTAGATGCAGAGGCAAACAAAACTTAGTGAAAATCATTAAGACATGTTTTTCAAACTTTTCAAACTATAACACTGAGTAAGAAATACATTTACATTGCAAATCAGCACATGTATACACACAAATGAATACATATATATTTTATATTTGTACATACACGCATATAATGAAAACACGTTTCACAATGTAGTACAGGTTGATACTTTATAACTTTTTAAGTGCTAGTTGTGATTTAAGGTGATTTCACAACCTCCCCTGAGTCATGACCTACAGTTTGAAATACATTGCATTAGAAGTTCTTTCCCCAAAAGTTTATCTCAAACATGGGTCATCTTTCTTTATTTGGTCTATTCTAGAATGCAAACTGGTACAGGAACTAGTACTAGAAAGGATAATATGAAGAATGTGGAAGAAATAGATGACGTATATGTAGATAACTTCTTTCTCCTAAGAAAAAATATTACCCAGGAAACTTAACATCTTTGCATCAATCAATACTTTTAAAAATGTAAAGCCAAAAATCAGCAAAGAGCAAGAATTGGAACATTTGGATGGTATTTATTTTAGTATTGGTCAGTTGACCTTGGCTAGCCAAGGGATGTCATCAGTCCCTGGAGGGTGGACTGGAGGTAAAGTGAAGAATGACAGACGTGAATCGAGTCACTCACGTGAGATGCATAAATTACTCGTTTAGAAAATGCTATTGTACACAACTCACATAATATCCCAGTGTGGTCCAGGAACTCGAGGATACTAGAGAACTGAGGTCCAATAGTAAAAGTATTACTATCTCCTGAGAAATCCTAGACCATAATTATAAAAGTGTTTAACATTTAGGATGTGCCTTGTAATACATTATGGTACTTAGTCCTTACAATGATCCTATGAGGTAGCAGTTATTTTACAAATGAGGAAATTGAGGCTTAGAGAGATTGTGATCAACTCAAAATTGCATAAATATTAATTGGCAGACTCAGGAAGTATGATTCAAAGCCTAGTGCTCAGCCATATCTCCCATTTATAAAAGAAGTTAAACGGAGGTGTGGATCAAATCCCTGCCATCCTGCATTCTTCCATGGAGTCTGAAACTTTTGAGGTAAACCTGGTCAGCAGCAACAATGGTCATTTGTAATGGGCTGCAGGGGGCACTGTGGCTTCCTGCAGAGAGTCCAAGGCTAAGAGTCAGAAAAACCTAGTTCTAGCCCAGCACTACCGCTTAACATCTAAGTAACTTTGCTGTTT